CAGAATATAGTTAAGAATTACAGTGGTATAGAACGGTGGTCATAATAGGTTCTCTTCTAAGATCCATGACCCCACTACATGTGTAGTTGGATGTTTCAATACAAGGTATGATTTTATTCCTGTTGAGCACATCTTAATTCCAATAAGACAGTGTTGCTGGGTCCTAATGGCTCCCTTGGTGAGAAGGTGCTATGTGAATGGCACAGATACCAGGAGTCAGGTAAATGGCAAACAGCAGACTTGTTTATTCAGCAATGGAGAGAGCCTTATATACTCTCCTACCAGCACTCAGGCTGTGTCCCTATCCAGTGACTTTGCATGGTCACCCATCATTGGCTAGGTATGATCAGGACATCTAACAGTGCCTGTTGCTAGGCCCTTAGGCAAACTCCAGGTTGGCTCATCTCCTGCCCTCTTAGGCCTTATCTTCCTACATATCCCACCCTTTTCTATTTATTACATGGACACTCAGTGAAAGCCAGAGTGATTTGCTCAGGCCTTGTGGACCCTACTTCAGGAAGGCTCAGCAACTGGACTGTGCCTGTATTAGGTTGGCCTGACAAACAAGCTCTTACCTGGCTTTGACTACTAGCCCTCAAAGAGCATCCATTCATGAAGTACTGCCAGGGTGTGGGTCTAGGAAGTAGCCTTTGAATTTCAGATAACTAGGCATGCATAACCTTCTGAGGAGGACTGTAAGAATGGCTAAGAGCCATTAACAACTGAAGAGTTACTTTTGTTGCTTCCTGCTGCTGCTGAATATGTTACAGGGGATATTTAAAGAGAATTAGGGCTAACAATACCACCCTGTCAATTAAGGCATATGTGAGCACCCAGGAGGGATCAAATAGTCTTTTTATGTTATGCCAACCTTTTTCAGCTATGGGGGTGGGGGGAGATCCACAGCTGATTGGTGGCCTTTTGTCCCAGGTTGACCAGAAAGACTTCTGCCGGCCTTTGAGGCTACAGTGGCTAGTGGGGGCGGGGATACCTCAGTCTGAGGAAATTTCCACCTTCAGGGGCAGGTGGACATTGTGGCACTTCGTTCCAATGGTGCCACAGGGGAGGTGTAGCCTCCCCGAGGTGGGAGTGGGACTGACAGGGAAGGTGCACATATGGTGACAACTGTGATGGTGCTCCCCTCAGCAGGTTTCGCAGGGCCTGAGCTGTCTGGCTCCTTCTCATCAGATGCCATACAGAGATCAGACATGGAAGGAATGGAGGTGATGGAGAGGTTGCCCATTTTTTAGAGCGAGACAGCAGGCAAGCAACAGTCAGAGAGAAAATGGCAGTCAACAGGGGTGGAAAATTGTGTTGGACCTTCATGTTTTGTGCTTAGTGGGGGACTTCCATGGTGTTTTTAGGCCACAGCTGTATGCCCACACAGTGTGTTTGGATGAAGGAATGTGTTCGGGGGCCAAGCCTTGGTTCCACTTCCTGGAGAGTCCAGCCCTTATGTGGAGGCACCAAGTAAACCAAAACAGAAAAAAAAAATATGCCTTCCTAATGAATGGACAGACAAACATGACAGACAACACAAAAGAAGGAAAGGAATGGAAGTCCCAAAGCTCACCTGCTGAAAGGACTAAAACCACACAACATTGAGGGGCCTTCTCACCAAAACACACCATCTTGGAGGCGCTGTCCAGCACTGAGAGTAAGGAGAGGCAGACAACCAAAACTTGTTGGGTGCCAGATGTTGCTGAGTCCTAACAGCTCCCTTGGGGAGGGGGCAAGAAGGCACAGTGTCAACAGCACAGACACCTGGAGTCAGACAAAAGGCAAACAGCAGACTCATTTATTCAGCAATGGGAAGAGCCTTATATGCCCTCCTCCCAGCACCCAGGCTGTGTCCAAATCCGCTGACATTGTGTGATTGCCCCTCATTGGCTAAGCATGATCAGGACCTCTGACAGCACCTGTCGGAACCAGTGACATTGCTTGGTCACTTATTATGGGCTAGGCATGGTAAGGACCTTTGACAGTGCCTCTTTAGGCAGACTCCAGATTGGATCCTTTCTCAGCCCTGTAGGCCTTATCTTCCTACAAGACAGCTGTTGGTTACCTATGAGTTATCTATGAGTACCATTATTGTGATTTTAAAAATATCTTGCCATACTGGTCAGTGTTGTGGTTCAGAGGCATCACAATTGTATAGACCTATTGACTGCTTCCTATCGTTGACATCTTGTGTAATATTTTCTAATACTATGAAAGCTAGACCACAGGAAGGAGGTTTCCAGGTCAGATCTATCTCAGATTATCCGAGTTCTATAACCTAAGTGTACAATATCTTCAACAGTAGGGACTTACTTACTGTAACCTCTGAGAGGCAACCAAGGGCAACATTGTTTTGCTGTATTGTTTACCAGTCACTTAGATTACCATGACCAATCATTTGAAAAAGGGTTGCTTATAACTGGTTGTTTTGGGTAGTCTATGGCCCTTGTGGGAGCATTTTCAGCCTGAATGTCAAGACTTTATTTAAAATTATATATGACATATTAAATACTCTAATAATTATATATAATTTAGGAAAATATAAAATAATATGACCCCTTGAGATTTTATCAAGCAATCTTGATTTTTTTTAATTCCACTTCAGCCATAAATGTGGTAATTCCCATAAAGATAGTAGAAATATATGACTTCATTTTTTCTAATACCCATTACATTTTCTTCATTTAAATAGTATTTTACTTGAAGATGAATTCCTCTCCTCTGAGAAGTTTCAATTCAGAGTAGGAACTGCAATAATTAATTAAAAATGCTTCCTGTTTCTTAGTTCAATTCAATCACATCATAGTTTTTCACATCTGTACATGTGCTTCACTTAAGCTTCAGTTACATATATATATATATATATATGTGTGTGTGTGTATATATATGTATATATATATGTGTATATATATATACATATATATATATATATATATATATATATATATATATATATATGATAAGTTAGAAATAACTGATACCAAGATGATTGCCATGGATCAGGTGAACTTTTCAGCCTCCTCTAAGCAATTATTTCCCACACATATAGATATTCAACAAAGTTTTGTGGAATCACAAAACTTTGTTTTTCTCCTCTTTGACTCAACTGTTTAACACTTAAAATACTTAAGATGGGTTGCTTGTTCTTTTTAAGAACCACATTAACATTCACACAGAGTTGAGTTTAGCACCTTTAAAAGGTAACTTGCCTTCTGGGAATTACATCTGCTGCAGTCTTTTTGATCATTGCTATGCATGTAAAGAGATTAACGTACAATTTGTAAGGCATGCAGTTTTACACAGACTTCATTTCAAAGCACTTCTGCATTAAACTAACTGTACTATGGTCTTATGACTGAGTATATCTGTAGCTGAAGTTTTCCTGTGTCCCAGCCAGCTGTGGTTCTTTTGTGTAGGTGTATGGTGTTTCTGTATGTTAAGATGGCGTAAATATGCCTTATACTGTTATGTTATGGCATCGACATTCATCTATCAATGCTAATCATGATTATTTCTGTGAAATGAGTCTTTTTACATCAGGCTGTGAAAAAAATTTAAGGGGTTGTATTGTTGATGTTTCATTTGGGACTGGGTACCCACAGTTGCTTGTTCTCTGCATTTTGACCAGTTGTGTCTTTGTGTTATGACCTCCATCTGCTGCTAAAAGAAACTTCTTTAATGCAGGGTGAAAGCTGTACTTATCTGTGGGTGAAAACATTAAGAATGCAGTTAAAATTATAATTTCCATGATCATTACTTTAAATATTTCAACAGCTATGTCCAAGACTGAGCATATTTTAGTTTTGTTGTTATTGTTATTGTTGTTTTCCTTTTTTTTTAAATTCTACTGTAGGATTAGGACCTTCCTTTAATATTTATTGAATGATGTTACATATCCTATGGAAAACTAACAGTTTTTGAAAATTATCCTCCTATGTATTTTACCTCAAATAGCAAGACCCTATATTTTGTAGGAACACTTTTTTTTTAACTATTTATGGTCTTCATAATATTAAGATTACAGAAGTTTTATAATTCTCCAAGGAAACAGGATGAAAAATTTTAGAATTATGTTTAAATCTGCCTCCCACTTGGGAGCACTAACAATGGGATTATTATTTCTGGGCTGAGCTCACTGCATTGCAAAACTGAGCAATGGCACTTTCCTGGTTTACAGAGGAAAGTAAGCATGCAAAGGACAGCATCTATGACTATGATTGTCACAAAAGTGATCAGAGATTCTAGAAATGCAGAAATAAGATGGGGGAATGTTTGTGTGTAGCATTTTTTTTTAACTTTTAATGATTCTTTGTGGATTTCACATCATTCCAATCCTACTCATTTCCCCATCTCAAATCTACCCTATGCCCTTGCAACCTCCCCCACAATCAAAACCAGATTTAAAAGAAAAATAAGAAACAAATAAATAAAACAAAGAAACAAAACAAAAACAGAAACAAAAAAAAGAAGAAAAATCTTGTGGAAGCTGTAGTGTGGCCTGTTGACTCACACAGTTTACCCTTTAGTCCATTCATGTTTACTTGCATGTGTTCATTGCCAGGAGTCACTGGTCTGGCTTCAGGCCTCTGGTTTCTGCTACACCACCAAAAATGGGCTCTCACTATAAGGGCTCCTCATGGATATCCCGTTGACATCCTGCGTCATGGAGATCCTGCTGTTTTGGATCTGTAGGATTGTCCTCTTCATATGCTCCAATAGGAGTCAGAAACCAAATGAGCAGAGAACTTCCTTTCAGCCTGATGAGAGTCATGGTCTTTTATTGCAAGGTCATTAGGTATAGCTCTAAAAGATTTCTGGTGTCAGGAGTGAACGGGCTTGTAGCATGTTTGTACGTGAAAAGCTAAGTGTTGCTGTTGAGCCTCTCCAAAGCAGGCTAGAACAACGCCTTTTCTTCAGGTAGATGTTCTTGTCATAAATAGAAAACACAACACATGTACTAATTCAGTTTTTCTATCCTTCCCCTTACTTGTCTTCCTTAGGACCACCGCAGAAAATAGTATCACCCAAACAAGAACATGAAGACCAGAAACACGACAAAGTCACAGACAAAGGAAGTGAGAGCGGGACTTCCTGCAATGAGCTCTCCACATCCAGCTGTGACAGCCACTCAGAGGCCAGCACACCACAGGACAACCCGCCCAATGCCCAGCAGGCTGCAGCTCACCAGCCTAACACCTTAACCTTGGATCGACCCTCCAAAAAGGCACCAGTGCAGTGGATGCCACCACCAGACAAGCGCAGAAACAGTGAACTCTTTCAGTCACTCATCAGCAAGTCCCGAGAAACAAATCTCTCCAAAAAGAAGGTCTGCGAGAAGCTAAGCGTGGAAGAGGAAATGAAAAAGTGTATTCAGGATTTTAAAAAAATCCACATTCCAGATTGCTTTCCAGAGCGCAAACGCCAGTGGCAATCTGAACTACTCCAAAAGTACGGGTTGTAGTAAGGATGATGTTCCTGGCTTGTTTTAATGGCATTCGATGTTTACTACAACGTAACCACCTGATTCTTGGTGGGTATGATTCCTGCTGCTCTTTCTTTTTTGTGAACCGTGGATGTGGGACAGTATTTTTATTTTCATTACTTTTGTTGTTGTTTTTAGAAACATAATTTTAAAAATGAAACCAACAAATGTGTGTCAAAATGGTGTATCTATCTGATTCAAGCCATTTTGTGATAATGAACGTATACTGTGCATGATCAAGAAACTTAAGAATCTTGATTTTTGAACTGTGGTCGACTGGACATGTTTGTCATTCTGTAACTCACTAAATAAAAGAATCTTCATATCATACCAACTCAGACAACAATGTGGATGAAGCAACATGAAGTAAAATTTTAGGTGAAGGTTTTAGAACCCAAATCTACAACTGTTTAAATGTTAATGCAATAAATAAGTATTATTTTTGCATGAACACGATGTTACAAATACATCACAAGAAATAAGGAAGATCTGTTCGTTGCTATGAAAGAAAAAATATTAAAAAAATAAAGCAAAAATTATATATAAATATATATAGTTTCAGGCAAAGCCTATCAATGTAAGCTGTCTAGGAGATTGAACTTCCTTTGTTTCAGATCTGTGGTTCTTTTGTGTAGGTGTATGGTGTTTCTGTATGTTAAGATGGTGTAAATATGCCTTATACTGTTATGTTATGGCATCGACATTCATCTATCAATGCTAATCATGATTATTTCTGTGAAATGAGTCTTTTTACATCAGGCTGTGAAAATTGGTACAATGATGATTTAAAAGATCCTATTATCATGTTAATCAAAATAATTGAGGGAAATGGTAAAGAGCTTTATGTATTTATTAAAAAAAGGAAATGTGTTAGAATTCCTTAATTTCTACTGACTTTTATTTAAAGATATTATTTTATTGTCCTTGAGTCTCACTTAAAACATTATATTGCAGAATGGTTGTTAAAACTGAATGCTGGAAAGATTAAGCCTAACTCAAATTGAAGTAGAGAGAGATCCAGATACTCGCATGGTGTGTTGCTTAATAAACCCCCAGTCAACAAGAGAAGAAAGACCTCATTTGATAATACACTAAAAGTTTATTTTCACTGACAGCCAGATTGAAAAACCTCTCCACAATAAATTGGGAAGTTATCTCTTATAAAGCAAGAGACAAAAATGTCAACAGTGCGCTGAAAGGTCACTCTTGATGAAAAGTGTTTTCTTCCTGGGTATGTGGGGACAGGCATTTCCTGATCAAAAGCCACCCAATTATGCTTCCAACTCTTCAAAGAGAGAAATACAAAATACCATGGAATCTAGCTAAAGAAAATGGGTCGAGAGAGGTAAAAATATCCCCAAGAATGAATTCTACTTTCTTTGCTGTGACTTAGAAAGGGGTGGGTGGCACTTGCAGTGTCCTCTCTCCCTGTATATGAAGGATATGAGCATCATTCCTTGAAAGTTTAAAAAATTCTACATTCATTTCAATTTTTTTTTATTTTTCATAGCATCATTATATAAAGTGCCATCTACTCAGGACAATAAAAGTCAACTAAGACATACGATTAACCTTCAATTAGCTGTCCAGCATTGGGAAAGCATCTTTTCTCAATTTCTTGTGTATTTCTCAATTTCTTGCGTATGCTTTTGAGAAGCTGCCAGTCCCAGTGTGGTTTGATATAAATGGAAAACACCAGTCAGCTGATAGAAACTAACAGGCTGCCCAGCTTCCAATTCCACATCTACCATTCATGCTTTATGTATCTGATGGATAATGAAAGGGCTATGATATCATAAGGATGATTTCAGAGGTTTGGGGAGATGGCTCAGCAGATAAAGAACTGTTCTGTAAACGTGATGATCAGAGTTCAGGTCTCTAGCACCAAGGATGGATCAAGCTAGCTGGTTAGACAAGCTGAATCCAAAAAGTCTTGTCACAAATGAGAGGCCCCATCACCATATAAAGTAGAAAGTGATGAGGGAGATATCCAAAATCAACTTTTGACTTCCATATGCACCTGTACATACATGTGCCAATTTACATATATACATATATACACACGCACAGACCCAGACCCACTCCCCCACATACACACACACACAAAATGAGAAGATTTCTAAGATACAGTTTACCTAAGTGCTATTCATAACTATTCATCACTGATCTGGAAAGAAAACAATAGAAATGGTGAATATATAGAATTAAATAACCACAACTATCAGTGAGTTTAGAATACAGAGAGACAAGCAACCTAGTAAGAATTATAACCTCTCCAGAGTCGCACACACTTCCAAACACAGAACCTAAGCAAAGAAGGAAGGGGAGATTCTATTTCCTTCCACATTCCAATTTTCTTCCAATATTTTCCATATTCCAAACTAAGTACAAGCCAGCTGACAAAGAAACCAAGATATATAATGTTCACAGTGATTACCTATAAGACAAAGCCGAGAAACAAATGGTAGGGGCTATGCCTGAAAACTACAATGTACCCTCTGTGTGTTTCCTAATGAACCAGATCAAGTAGAGTTATAATTGAAAGAATGAAGTAAGAGTATGATTTCTAATCCACTTACCTCTGCCTCCTTAAAGAGTGGAACACACAAGTCTATATTCCTTCTTGTCAATAAAAGTTCTGAACCATGGGAGGAAAATTCCTACATCTTAATTGTTTTCATTTTTGTGTACATAACCATATGGGACACACTTGATTAACATGTCAGCATACAGTCACAGGTATCAGTTACCAGTTCTTTCCCTTAGGAAGAGGCTCAGAGTCTGACTCTTCTAAACTATTTTTCTGTCAGTAGAGGCTAGAACTTGGCTGACCTAAAGTAGGCTTACAAGGAACCAATGGAAGTAGGTACATCAAGGACTCTTTCTTTGAAAGAAAAAATGACAAAGTACTAGAGATATGATAGACTGAAACTGGTCTATAATGCTTCATTTCCAAATGATCAGAATGTGAAATTGATAAACACACACACACACACACACACACACACACACACACACACACACACACACATTGCAGAACCTAGAAGCAGCTATTGAAGTTGCTTTTTTTTCTCCCCATAGTTTCCTTCTGTTGAATATGTGGTAGACATGTTACTTGTGACCTTCAGCGGAGCAGAGCACCCAAAGAGGAAAGAAACAAAGTCATTAGTGAGGATTATTGTTCTAGATGAGAGCTTAGACCAGATTTTCAGTTTAGTTTAGAAAAGATTTATCTTTCCTCTCTAAGTATAAAAGTCTACAAGAAGGCATTCTTGGAATAACAAGAACATAAGAAGTACCATGGAGGTCATTTCACAGTTTTTGTCTTATCTCCTCTTCTGAGACTGGTGCCAAAGAAGCTGGCAACAATGGAATCTACATGATTTACAGAGAACAGAAGCCCTTCTGACACCAAGAGAGGAATATAAAACATAAAACATAATAACTGCACTTCCACACCAGATTGGGCAGGTGCCATGCCTGTGTGTGTGTGTGTGTGTGTGTGTGTGTGTGTGTGCATATGCACACATGTACATGCCTAGGCATATGTGCTACTCAATTCAGCAACTCAAACAGCAATATTTGAAATTAAACTTTTAATATAATAGGTACATGGATATACTAATAGAAATGTACAGACTTGATACGTACATGCTTAGGAATGCTAAAATGTTGTTATGTTAAATGGAAACTAATCAACTCAACAAATGAATGAAACAAATTAGAGCTTACATCAACAAAATGCTTTTCTTTTTGTTTTGTTTTGTTTGTTTGTTTGTTTTTGCACAGAGTATTCCATGTTGTTTTAAATTGCAAAAGTATGGTGCTGGGAGCAGAATAGTTAATAATTGATTCTATTCTCATTTTAATCGTCTCTCTTTACTTTCTACAGTTGTGGCAGATTGGTTCTATTCCATCTTTTTGTTATGCCCGGTGTTTTCATGCAGAAGACAGACTAGAAAACTAGGGAGAGTTAATCCAAGAGACCATAAAACATATCGATCCCAAATGTAATGACAAGTTTAAGTTCAGCCCCTCATCATGTTCACCTAAGCAGCAACAACTACATTTAATCTTATCTCTGCCATATCATCTTTTCTTCTACTACATGTGTGGTATTTCAGTTTTTTCCTCTCCTCTCCTCTCCTCTCCTCTCCTCTCCTCTCCTCTCCTCTCCTCTCCTCTCCTCTCCTCTCCTCTCCTCTCCTCTCCTCTCCTCTCCTCTCCTCTCCTCTCCTCTCCTCTCCTCTCCTCTCCTCTCCTCTCCTCTCCTCTCCTCTCCTCTCCTCTCCTCTCCTCTCCTCTCCTCTCCTCTCCTCTCCTCTCCTCTCCTCTCCTCTCCTCTCCTCTCCTCTCCTCTCCTCTCCTCTCCTCTCCTCTCCTCTCCTCTCCTCTCCTCTTTCCTTCTTTCCTTTTCTTCTGTCCTTTCTTTCTTCTTCTTCTTCTTTCCTATTCTACATTTTTTAAAAATTGAAAGTATGTGTTTTTTCATACAATATATTCTGTGCATCCTTTTCCTCTCCTTCTCTCTCCAGTTCTTCCTCATCTCCCTGCCCATCCAACTCCATGCCTTCCTTTTCTCTCTCCTTAGACAGTAAACAGGCAGCTGGGTGGTGGTGGTGCAGACCTTTAGTTCTAGCACCTGGGAGACAGAGGCAGGTATATCTCTGAGTTCTAGGACAACCTGATCTACAGAGTGAGTTCCAGGAGAGCCAGGGCTACACAGAAAAACCATGTCTCAAAAACAAAAACAAAAACAAAAACAAAACAAAACAAAACAAACAAACAAATAAATGGTTGGGGATTTAGCTCAGTGGTAGAGCACTTGCCTAGCAAGGGAAATGCCCTGGGCTCAGTCCTCAGCTCTTGGAAAAAAAATAAAAATAAAAAAGTAAATCAATATATAAATAAAGAAGTAAGGAAAGAAAGAAAAGGCTCAAGAAACAGTCTCTCTCTCTCTCTCTCTATCTATCTATCTATCTATCTATCTATCTATCTATCTATCTATCTATCTCTCTGTAGCTTGATTTTTCCGCCTTGCCCAC